AGTTTCAGGATATATCTGATGTGAAAAAGACACCAATTAAAACCAAAAGGCCATTTATATCCTACCCCTAGCAACTGACTCCTCCTCCTGGACCCACAAAAGGGAGTCCCAAGCAGTCATCAGGTTCTCTTGAGCACTATAGCTTGGAGTCCACTGCTCCTTTGCAGCATATATATAATCTTTACCTTCACTCTGCTTCTGGAGAAAATTCCTTGATGCTTGTGTGTATTTCTTTAGTCTTTGAACAATGTTCAAACAGCCTGGAAACACTGGGTCCAGATAGGAATTACCAGTGTGTGTGTGAGGGGGAGTGGGTATGGGTCTGGTTGTGGTTATGGGTGTGTGGGTGTGGGTGTGGGTGGGTGGGAGTGGATGTGTATTTTCCAATAGATAAAATCACCTCTTTTTAATTTTATTTCTTTAGTTTTTCATTTACCTGAGAACTCACTGTGGAAGGACTCTAAAAGGCAGGACTATATAGTTATTCTAGAAATAATCATGAGTGACTCTGGTCGAAGAGCACAGATTTAGGTTACCCCAAACTCCATGTTCCTAAGTGGTTAATGGTTTTGTGAAGTTTCTTCTGAAGTAAGCAACAGAACAAACAATGTTATAAATCAAGGCCTAAGGACATGAGGATCCAGACAGGCCGATTTCAGTAAGACAGGGAAATCTCTACTAGAGATGTAGTTGATAACACTCTTGCCTTTGGGTTGGTGAAGAGAGGGCCAAGAGGAGGGCTGTAGTTTCCTTTGAGAGACATGCAGACCTCTCGGGTGTCAATTATCCACAGTCAGGATTGGAGTGACCCTCTTTCTGGGCCTCACTGAGTCCTTTGTAAATGGAGAGGTCTTAGTGGAGGCTGTAAACCCCTATACATATGGCATCTCCAACCATCGGCCAGGTTGCTACTTGCCTTGTCAGAAAAGGAATGTTTGTGCAGCTCAAGCCAAGCAGAGTCCCAGGTTGCTAAGTTTTCCCTCCATTTGCCTGCCTTAGATCTAAGTGCAATAAATAGTTATTTCATCTCATCCACATTCGTATTTACAGAAGTTTCATTTAACCATTTTCCCAATACTCAGGATTATCACCCTTCAGATAGGAGCAAGAAAGTGAACAGAGTCCTTTGTCAGAAGATGGATATGTCAGTTCAATTTCTGCATATGATAGTTTTTAACTGCAGTAGATTAAGAACAAATGTGCTTTCAGATCTGGAGGCAGCCAGGTCTTGTGGCGGTTGAGGGCACCAACATTGGGGCAAACTCGCAACTGGACATACATTTGCTGCAGCACCTCTGTACCTGGGCTCTCCCATGTTTCACAGCCTACACTCCTAGGCCTTGGTAACACCTGGAAAGGTGAAAGGAGTTACTTGAAAAGATCAAAGGCCTCCAACATAGAGTAACTTCAAAGCCAAAGAAAACTGCTACATCCTACCCTATAAACTCTTCTTAGTTGTGATTTTGGCAAATTCAATATTTTCTACTGGAATCCATGGGGTTCTGATCCATTAGGGATCATGGAGTACTAAGATGTACAGCTAGGTTTACCAGATAGCTATGGTCAAATGTGAAGATGCCCTTGAAGAACAGGCTCTGGTCACCTAACCATTTTCTGCTGTTTAAAAAAAGAAGAAGCCGGGCGGTGGTGGCGCACGCCTTTAATCCCAGCACTCGGGAGGCAGAGCCAGGCGGATCTCTGTGAGTTCGAGGCCAGCCTAGTCTCCAAAGAGAGTTCCAGGAAAGGCACAAAGCTACACAGAGAAACCCTGTCTTGAAAAACCAAAAATAAAATAAAATAAAATAAAAAAAGAAGAAGAAAATGTCAATTTCATGCAGGCAAAGACTGATGTAGAAATGAAAGCTCTGCCTCGGACTGCAGTATTTATTTGCTTTTTAATAAAATTGATTTGGATCAATTTGAGATAACTGCTGGGAATGTAATGTTTTCCTTTCAGGTATGTCACTTATTTTTGTTTCTGATATGGTCTCAAAAGGAACATTGCTGGTGTTTTTCTGTGTGACATTGTAGTTCTAGAAGAGTTAAAATAAGAAACTACCTGCTTAATCTGCCAGAAAACACATGAGAGGAGCAATCAGCTCTGGAAAGAGTTGCTAGGAAGGAGTATGCCTGGCTGCTTTAGGCCATGCTGTTTGTCAGTCTTTCAAAATTCAAGTCATTACGAGATGCTGATCTACTATAATATTGTGATATTTTATCTGATTACACTTACCTGATTGTGCCTTATCTGCTATTTGCCTTCCCATTCTTCCATGTATATTAAATGCAGGTGCTTTTATTATTCTGAGAGCTAGAGAGTGTTGACTGCTCTGAATATAAATGGGGATATTATATCATTAACTTGCTCTGAAAGTAGGGCCATTCACTGTGTAAATCACATGCAAGGTACCTGCTGGAGACACAATAAACCATAATGTCTTGAGAAAGAAAGCAATGTGGAATGGATAAGGAGATAAAAATTTAAGGCATTGTTAAAGAAGGGTAATCTTCAAAATCCTATTTGGTTCTTTCACACTAGCATTGGTTGATAATATAACCTTTGTATTAGAAACTTTTTTAAGTCAGGGAAAGAAAATCTTCTGGGAAGACATCACAATATGGGATACCATCACCAGTGGAAATGGTACAAAACACACAACCAGGAACAGTCTATGTTTATCTGAGTTAGGAGAACATTTTGAATGCAGCAGTCTAATCTTCTAGAGGGATGTTCTTTGATTTGACAAATATATTCTTACCTTACTTGAGTGTACTGCCTGGACAACAGGAAGAAATGGCCAAACAGTGTCAGCATTTCCAGGCATTAAATGGTGAAAACCGTAGAACGTTACTGCAAATTTCAAAGGAAGCACTATGCAGAGAACTGAGGCAGAACCGTGACAATGTGTGACTTCCCAACACTCTGAGGTTCTATGCTCTGCTTAGCTTCCACTGTTTCAGTCTTGCCAAAAGTTAATCCACAGTTACTTAAGCTTCAGGAAATCTATTTTCAGAATAAATGTTATGTGAGAGTTTAAACGAGCCACTACCCTCTGCTGAAGAGAATATCCAATGGCTTGCTCACTCATCAGTGTCTCCACTCAGGTAGCAGATGGGAGCCACATCTCCCACATTAATTACCTCTCTTTGCTGTGACAAAAAGCTACATAAGGGCAAAAAGTACACTTCGGTGTTGGGTTGGGATGAATTCTCAGAATTCCACTAACCAACACAAAAGCTGAAAAGCAACTCAGTGGAGGGTTTATTTTGGTTCACAATTTGAGGGTGCGGCCTGGCATATGAGGAAGGCAGGGTGGTAGAAGGGGTTCTGAGCTGTGACTCCTCCCCTTCCCATACTTGAATGAAACAGGACATAGAGCAGTCACACTATTTCAGATCTAGAAGTGTAGAGAAAACAAGTATGAAGACCACTGGGGCCACGAGGAAAAAGGTAACCTGCCTATTTTCCTGACAGGTTCCCGTGGGAGGAGACTCCTTGTGCTAGTGCTGGCCATTACCCAGAAATGCACAGTCCATACCCATACCTGAACCAATATGTTTAAGCAAATCAAGGTCGCCCTTTCATCAGAAGAACCTTTAATATTCTTAAAGTACATGCTGGAAGGCAGAACGTAACTATGGAAGATGGTCTGGTCTTTTTAGTAATTCCAAACCTGCATACATTTTCTCAAGAGAGATATTTAATAGGAGTCTCATGATCTTGTTAAACTTACTTGTTCCTAAATAAAAGTAATTTTAACTGGCTATTATTTCACATTTCTTTAGAGGATCTACTCTGAAAATCATCAAGACAGAAATAGGAAATAAATGAGCTATGCCTAAACATTAAAGCTATAAGGATTTTAGCAGAGGAGAATGTGTGCCTAAGTCACAGAAACCAGTAAAATTTAAAACTTCAGCTCATCAAATGACACCATGAAGAAAAAGAAGAGTGACTGGAGAGATGGCAAGCTTCTGAGGAAATACTGGTGAAGCATGTCTGACAAAGGACCGGCGTCTAGACTGTGGCAAGAACTGTAACAACACAACAGAAAGACAAATACCACATTTAAAAATGGCAAAAATGCTCAGAATCAAAAATATATATTCACATTGAGCAATGATCACATGAAAAGTAGCATGAATCAGCAGGAAGATGCAAGTTAAAACCATGTGGAGAGGTCAGACACACATGGAGAGGGGAAGAAGACACTTCTACAGTTCTGTTCCCTAACATTTTCTGAATCTAGATTATTCTATTCTAGATCCCCAGTCTTTTCTAGTTAAACATTGCAGACTGAGTATTTCTGTCTCCTCTCACACACACACAAAATAATAATGCTAGTCTATAATACTTGATAGTTAAAATGCATCTGAAGCAAACTGTTATTTGCCTAGTTTCTAGACTAAAGAATTCTTGGTTCAAAATAAACAAAAAATTGTGACCTCTCCTTGGATTGCTAAGAGAAACCATCTGGGCATTGGTTCTTTGATGTTCTTTTTTAGGTCTGGCAACTACTATGCTTATTATAATACAGTTTGATGTATACTAACAAAAAATATATTAAGACTTCTATGTTTCATATTGTTATACATTCAGTCAGGGTCTTTGGTTAGGGATATTTGGAATTGGGAATCAGGTGTTTGAAATAAGGTCTTTTATCATGTGATTACACAACACGGACCTGGAACACTGGAAGTATTCTGTTTCATATAGTTGCCTCTGCACAGGGCTCAATACATGCAGTTGTACACACAACAGTCAGGAGGCTGAGATGTGGCTTAGTTTGGTAAAGTGTTCTCCTTGCATGCATAAAGCCTGGGTTCAACGTTCAGAAGTACCTAAATCAGGCATGATGGTGAATATCTGCAATCCCAGCATCTGGAAGTCAAGAGGATCAGAAGTTCAAGGTCATCTTCTGCTACAAAACAACTCCAAAGATAGTCTGAGCTACATAAGACCTTGTCTCCCCGACCCACCCACCCCCAGAAAAGAAGAGCTCATATTTCTTATCCTTGTACACTCAACTTACTGCATAAAAGATCAGATTCCAATATCTAGTTCCTTTTTAGTGTCAAACTTTCTTCTTTTTTTCTAGATACTTCTACTTCAGGAGGCATCAACTGTGCACATAGCCCTATTTGTCTACAATAGTGTGAATGGCATTTCCATTAGCAAACACAAGAAATGTACAAATAACAAAAGTGGATATGCCTACCTTCTTACTGACAGTACAGATTCTTTCAGGAGGAATGGTGCTTAAAAAGGAGCAGTACATTATCATAAAGATACTCAACTCTCTTTACAGTTCTGTTGAGGTTATCTATCCCCAGTTATCTAATATTTTCCACAGCAGGTTTTGCCCCTATGAAATGATATACCCAATAAAACTTCTAGGTGTAAACAACTATAAAAATTATACAAATGTAAAAAGGCTTTCCATACACACAAACATATCTACAAAAGGCACCACAATGAGGAAACTGCTGTATGAAGACTATTAAAAATGTGACACGGGGAGATTGGGGAGACAGCTCAGTAGGGAAGGGCTCCTTCTGTGAAAGCATGCGGGTCTCATTTTGAATCCCCACTGCCCATGTAAAAAGATGGACATGGCTGCACATGCCTGTAACCCCAGCATTGTGGAGCTCAGACAAGCTAATCCCAGGAACTCACTGGCCAGTCAGTGTAGCAAAAATAGCAAGCTTCTGGTTCAATGAGAGACCCCATCTCAAAGCAATAAGGCAGAAAGCAATAGAAGACACACAAATATTCTTCTCAGGCCTCCACATGTGTATACATACATCCACATACTCTTATGTGTTCAACACACACATAGACACACACACACACACACACACACACACACACACACACACACACACACTCCTGACACCTCTTTCCTTGTCTTCTGAGATAGAAAATCATTTGGGTTTGTGTTTCATTTGAAAGTTCAATCACATTTACTCACTTTTGGATCATCTCCTTGTTTACTCATAGAATTGGAAATGCTGGCAGTTTCCAGAGAAGGAAACAGGAAGTTTAGGCAACACTATGAGTTTTTAGTCCCTGTGGAGCATTTACTAAAAATATGTGGAAAGGGTAGGAAGAACTGCTAACGTGTTATGAACATTCCATGTTAAAAGTAAAGCCCATTAAAACTGTTCTAAGAAGAGGATCCAGGTTAAATTCCCACAACATACATGCTGGCTCACAACCATCTGTAATACAGTTACAGGGTACCCAATGTCCTCTTCTGGCCTCCACAAGCACCAGGTACAAATGTAGTATACAGATATACATGCAGGCAAAACACCATACACATAAAATAAAAATAGAAAGAAATAAAATAAGGAGGGGTGAAACTCCCTCCTGCCAGGGAGCTTGTTAAGTTGCAGGAAGCAAACAACTCTAAAGATTCAGGAAGTCCCTGAAACTGACAAAATGCACTAGTCCCTTATTCCACAGGCAAATATAAATAGTAAAGACTGCTCAGAGACACTCCTAGACAAAAGTTGCCTAAAAGAGGCTCAGACCAACTGAACTACCTGGAAGAAACACTCCCCAACCCATCAACCTGCCCATAAGTTGTGCAGTGTGCTCCAGGTTTCTATCTTTGTGAGATGTCAACCACGCTGGGGTTGGCTCTTGATGATGCAACTGTCATTGAGTCATTTCTACTTCTTTAAGTAACCCCTCACCTATATTCCTGTAAGTAACCCCAGTAAAAATCATTGCTTCATCAGGTTGGATTTTAGTGGTATCGTTACTTTGGTTTGTTGTCAGTTTCCTATCTTGGTGAGTAGATGTTCATTCACATCTTCCCAGTAATAGTGTCAAACAACATAAATATATGTATGTATACTTTTATGTATGTATGCTTTTATATAAATTAAACTAACATACACATAGTACATGTCGCATAATATAGTCTTATATACATGGCTGAAATAAAATAACAAGGCTGCCAAATGTTTTAATGGTGGTGTTTTGAGGGTTATCAACAAAACCTATTTCAACTTCTCTTCCCAAGACACCATTGTTAAATTCAACTCACTGAACAGTCATAGCTAATTTCTGTGATTGCATGGCAAGGTGCTTTACTAGATCTGACAGGGCAGGATGCTCCTCCATGCTTTCCACTTAAAATACAATGTGTCTTCACATAAAATGCTCAGCTGCTGACCCATTAGCTTTTGTTGTAGAAATTCTACCGTCTCTACTGATATCCAAGCATCTAGGTTAGAAACAAGGGCATCCTTAAAAGTTAGAAGCTAAGCAGCTATTTGCTTACAGACTAACTCATCCATCTAGAGATTGATCTCTGCCAACTTCTCGGTGATTCTGTTACTCTGTTATTTATGAGGAGCTGTGGCTTCATGTTTCAGAAATTACCATCCAGTCAGCATTGATGAGTATGTATTTGTCTTGCTCACTCAGTGGCAAGAAACATACATAATAAATTCTTAGGAATGTTATCTCTTTCATTTAGAGCCAAAACAACTGCTGAATTATTGATCAGTTATAGAATCTGTTCATAGGTAGAAGGAAATACCACCTGTTACAGACAAGGACTCAACACTTCTGTGTTTCCAAGAACAGAGAAGTGCTCATGTTCTAATACCAACATCTGGGAGGCTTCGGCAGGAGGCTCATGAGTCTGAAGCCAGGCTTAGCTACATAGCATATTCCAGGCTAGCCTAAGGTACATGAAGAAATAAATAGCACATTAGAATCAAAATAAGAAAGTGTTTTTCATGAGTAGAAAACTGTTTCTGAATACTTTTCAATTACTTTAATGCAATTAGGGATTTCTTATGGGAATATAGCAACCTGTCCAGTGATTTTAAAAAAAAATTAACTTTAAATGAACTTGCTGTACTTTTATACTTTAAGGTAGAGTTTACTAGCATCTGCCTTTGTATTGTCTAACATCTAAACATATAACATATAAACATTTTAAACCATAAAACAGAACTGTACATCCATTTCCCCTTTTTGCTGTTTAATAAGAGCCAAAAGCTGCTGTCATTCCAAGTATTTCTAATCTTATTTCTTTAATACTAAAAAACAAGATGATAGTATAGTATTTCATCACCAATGAAGAAGTCCCAAAAGGGATTTTTAAATTTTTATGATAGCATAATTACCTTTTTTTTGAGGAAAAACATATGACTTAAGTCAAAACACACTGTTAAATAGTGGTCTCCAAGCAGCTGCAAGGTGACAGGCCACTAACACTTTTACAGGGGTAAACATTCTCTTGCACGAAAACAAAGTATAGATAAATCAATTAATATAATATGCAATGTATTATATCAAATAAATAAGGTAACTTTTTCTTTCCCAAGACTCCCTACATGATGCACCACAGTGGAGATAATCAATTTTAAATGATCAGTGCATCATTCACTCCCCACCAAAAGAGCTTCTTCTTGAAACAGATGTACAGATGTGAATTAACAAGGAGATCCACAAGTGGACAATGTACAGAGAGTGGGAAAGTTTGGAGCACTCAGCCCTAAATGGGATGTCTTCATCAAAACCCTCCCCTCAAGGCTCAGGGATGTATGCAGAAGAGGAGGAAGAAGGACTGTAAGATCTCTCAGAGGTGGTGAATGACTCCAAGGAAACAGTGTCTTCCAAACACAACAGGACTGATACATATATTAATGCCCAGAGACTGTGACAGAATACATGAGACCTATACAGACTCAAATCATCAAAATCCCAGCATGAAGAAGAGGAAGTGGGTACAAAGTCCCAACCCTACCCAGAAGCTATTTGCAAACTGATAGATGTTGGGAGAGGGAAAATCAGTTTTCTCCAAAGGAGTGTCACTGGGTATATCAACCACACTGCAGGCCACTTCTCATACCCAGAAATAATTGGTCAAAACAACACAGACCCCACAGAGAAACCAGGGTAAATGAAGGCTCAAGATCTCCTGAAGAGTATGTTTGGCTCAAGATCTCCTGAAGAGTATGTTTGGCTCAAACTTACTAAGATTGGAGAGATATCCTCTAAATCAGGTCAAAATAGACAAAAGAAATTCTTCATTGAAAACAAACTCTGATGTGTACCCTAAACCAATGTTTCACACATTATTCTCTTGGCTACTTAGAAAGGTCAGTGTAATAGCTACCGGGATGGCTCCCAAAGACCCAATTCCCATGGTGCTTGGCTAAGAGTGGAGCTCTGTTAATGTTGTTAAAGCACTATCCATGTTAAATGACAGTTATTTGTTGTAAACACTTTCTGATTTTTTGTTTATTTGTTGATGTTGCTTTTAATAAGCTGTTTGTGCTGGGTACTCTGACCACTATTAGACTCCTTGGTGCCTAGAGTGGAGGTAGGGGAGACAAGCAGCCCCTCCTTGGCAGCCAGCTGGACCATCTTAGTGGCACAGGCTGCTTTGTACTCTCCATGTCAACAATATCTCTTGCTGACAAAGCACAATTCCAGCCCCAGAAGACACTCTTCCAGCCATGACTGTTTCAAATAACCTGCACCAGAATTTTTGCCATCACAAGCCTTAAGCTCCTGAAGCTGTTTCATACAGGCCACAGGGAGAGCCTTTTTCTTAGCAGACAAGTAGAGACTGACTGCGCTTGATCTAAACATAGTCTTTCATGCAAATGATGAAATACCCATGCCACACCCCTCTTCTGGCTAGATAAGCAGGCTATCTGGCTCACTTTTCATCAGGAGACACTTTGTGCTGATTCCTGATATTGCGGTATTAGGGCCATTAAAAACCTTGCAGTGGTCTTTTCTTGCTTGATTTTTACCATCAATAGTAGAGCAGGCTGAGGTAAAGAGATAGCAAAAGTAGATGGAAGCAACAGCAAGAAAGGGTAGGCTGACAGGTTCAAGAGAGTGACTGGGAGCACAACTGACAGACAGCAAAGGCCAGAAACTGCAGGCCTTCCTTACTGGAAGAAGTAAAGGGAAAAGGATACCAATATCCTAGGCCCAAGAGCTACAGCAGCAGTTGCTATCAGAGCGAGTCCCCAGTACTGAGGCCTGCTCAGACGCTCGAAGGGAAGCAGACATTGCCTGCTACTCACTATTGCAAAGCAGTACATTAGCTTGCAAGTGCCAGGGTCACTGCCATTTAAATCCCAGCACAAGCCTCCAACTTAAGGATCTAGAGGTGTAAATCTCTGGCCTCTAAAGTTTGGGGTAATATGGTGAACAGTGCAACAACCCACAAGGAACTGAGTCCTGCCAAAAATCACGTAAGTGAACATGAAAGTGGATCTTTTTTCAAGTCTAGCCGTCAGGTAAGACCAAAGCCCAAGTGACACCTCACTTGTAACCTGTGAGAGATCCTGTGCCAGACAAGCCAGTAAAGCTGACCCAAGTTCTGGCCCACAGGAACTGTGACACCAAGAAATGCCTACTTTTTGAAGCTACAGAATTGAGGATGGTTACTTACACAGCAACAGACAATTACATACAACCTTTTCTTGAAGTTACTGAATCAGTGTTTTCTTTCTTTCTTCCTTTCTTTCTTTCTTTTTCTTTTTCTTTTTTTCTCTTTTGGTTTTCGAGATAAGGTTTTCTCTGTGTAAGTCTGGCTGTCCTGGAACTCACTCTGTAGACCAGGCTGACCTCAAACTCAGAGATCTGCCTGCCTCTGCCTCCCAAGTACTGGAATTAAAGGTGTGTAACACCATTGCCTGGCTGAACCAGTGTTTTCTATGATTAGGTCCACTTTCTTACAACGATTCTGCTTCTGAATGTTCCACTAGCTTCAAGAACAATGCTACTTCTTTAAAAAGTATATCAGAATAATCTTGAACCTCCTTCTTCAAAGCCTTGAAATCATTTTCACGTGAAAGATTCTCAAAGACTGCTTACAAAACACACAAGAAATATTCCTAAATAACTCCAATGTAAAATGAACTCAAGAGAAACATGTACTGCCACTAGAACAGCTAAGGATGTGCTCATGGAAACTAAATTCAGAATTCAATGAAGAAATCCAATATCCTCCTAAATGTGGAATACAGAAAAAAAATTACATTTTAATATGCTAAGAATGTAACTAAATAGATAATATTCCTAAAAGAGTAAGACATACAATAGGGATTGTTCTATGAAGTATAATAGAGAAGAATCCATAAATAATACTGTTTGATGGGTCTGCAAAGAAAGCATAGCAATTTAACCATCACTTGGCTGATGAAAAGGTCCTTGTTGCAGCCCATCACATGTAAGATTTATTTTACTCAGCATCACTGTTGTGGAACTCTCCTTGTTAGATGCAGCACTTTGCTCATACTCATTCCTATATTAACAATCTAATTTATGAACAGAACACAAGTTCATTGCTCCTTCTGCTATCAATGGATATTTGGGACATTTTCAAACTTCTTGCTTTATGAATACTGGGAACACTTTAGGCTGAGGATATGGTGCGCTGGTAGAGAGCATGCATGCAGAATTAGGCCCAGGGTTCCGGGTCTAGCCATGCATAAACTGGGTACAGTGGTATACATTTGTAAACCATCTTCAGCTACAAAATGATTTCCCAGGCCAGCCTGGGATATGTGAGACCCTGTCTCAAAACACAAACAAACTAACTAAAAACAAAACAAAACAAAAAACAACAGCAACAATGAAAATACTACAAACCTTTCTTACATTGCTCTACTAGTGTGATACAAAACACAGTTCTAACAGGCACACATGTAGGTGTCAGATTATTAGACCACAAGTTATTGTTCAGCTCCAGAAGTCACACTGCTAAAGCTCCAAAATAATGTACTCATTATAGTCCCACCCTTGATGTCCAAGAGCTTGAGCTGCTTGGTTGTCAATTTAAACATTCCGATGGCAGTTTACAGGCTCTTCGTTGTGGTTTTAAGCTGTGAAGCTGTGATGACTGATATGCCCTAGCACCTTACTATTTCTCTTCTTTTTCAAGAATTGACAATTTATCTCCCTTGTAAACATAATCATAAATATAAATGGAATCATAAACATGAAAACATAATCATAAACAAAAATAAACATAATAAATAGTCTCATTCTTCAGAAACAAACCAAAAGCCAATGCAAACAAAGAAATAAACAAAATGCAAATAATCCTAGAGATTCTGGAGTGTTAAAAATGTTCTTTTGCTTAACTGAAATGGTAGTGAGATATCTGTTCCATTTACATTAATTTGTCTTCTTTTAAAGACTACCAAGGGTAAGCAAACAACCTGGATATTAAACTATTACGGGTATGACAACAGCTATTTTGGCCTCGCTTAGTAAAGTAAAGTACTGTCTGGACAATGGATTGACAGGTGTCTCAATAACGACACTGAAAACACGAGAAGAGCCAAACGGAGATTTCAAAATGGAAATATACAATGTAAAAGACTTTAAAGGGTACTATACAGCAGGCTTAACAGAAAAACTGAGGTAAAACTGGAATGAATCAGTGAGTTTTAAGATAGTCTAGTAAATTCTCTAATCAGAACAAGAAAAAAACTTTTTTTCAACAAAGCCTCAGGGATCTTTGTGACAATGTCAAAAGGGCTAATGTATAAGTAACTGGAGTCTCAGAACATGAGAAGACAAAAAAATAATGAAAATATGAATGATGACAGTCTAAAAACTGACATATGACACATGAGAGTAACAGTTTATATGCCATGGACTTACGTAGAAACTCTGGAGGCCAGAAGACAATAGAACAGCGCCTTAGTGCCGATACCGGCAAGAGAAGGCAAGACAGGATTTTACACTCCATGAAAATACCAAGAATGAAGGAAGCTCCACTTCTGGTCAAAATGAAGTAACAGGAAATGGATCTACTCATCCATAGGAACAACCACAGGCCAAAAAGGGCACGTGAAGCAACAGTCCTGAATTCACCAGGCATGGCAGCACAGAAGACGATTCCTGTGAAGAAGGACACAAACAAGGTACAGCCTACGAGTGTTTGAGATCGTCCAGGTAATAGATCGGCGGAAACGGAACCAAGATAGAGCACAGATCACTCCTTCAGTTGAGGAACGGAAGTTTAAGTCCAGAAAGGCTGGAGCAGCAGGAGTTCTCAGCAAAGTGCAGCAGAGCTGAAAAAGCCATACAAAGAGAGAACTCAAGAGCTTCCCCAGATCCCCACAAATAGGCAGCTGAGCACTGAAGCCAAGGAAAGGAAGGGGTGAGCAGCTGCACCCCCACAAGGCCAGGCACAGGCCCTGCTCACTTAGCCAGGTGGAGAGTCTTAATGCTGCACACCATGTGCGTTAAGGCACGGAGGGTGTCTCAGTATCAGGGAATAATTAGCCCTAGGCTGAATATGACAGTTCTGCCTGCCAGATATCAAAAGCAAGAACATAAAGCCTCAAGCTCTTTACAACAACTGCATCTCAATAGAAAGGTCCATGACTACTCATGCAAATAAAATGCTGCACACCCAGCAAAGTAACATGCAGAATGAGTGGCATTCACTCAAAAGTTGCTAGGCCTGCAAAGAAACCAGGAAACTCTCCATGTGAGGAGAAAACCAACTCAGCCGAACAAGCCAGGAACCGGCACAGCTGCTGGAGCTAAGAGGACAAGTATGTGTTCCAAAAGGTTTCTGGACTGATTCCTCCATGTCCAGACAATATACAGGGGTGGACAATACACAGAGGTGCTTGCCAACTTTCTTAAAGGGAATACTGTAATGTGTAACGCGAGAAATGTATTGAATGAGATCAACACCAGTTTAGCTTGATGAGTTTAAAAGACAGATAATTTTTTAAATGAACAGAGCATTAGTGATATTTGCTAAAAGACATTATGTTATAGTTGTATAATTGGAATGCTCAAAGAAAAATGAAGGGCAATAAGAATATTTGAGGAAATGACGGCCCTAAATCTTCTAAATGTGACTTGAGAAAATAAAATGACAGATCTAAGAATCTCAATGACCCCAAATGAAAGCATAATAGGAAGAAAATGCAGTAAACCACACTGCAATCAACTCATTCTGAATTATCGATAAATAAAATTCTAGAGTTTGTTGATAATGGAGTAGTACTATTTGGGGATGAATATAATGAAGTACTGATATACATGACAACATGGGCAGATGAATGATAAAATTAAAAAGCCAAGTACCTATTCTAGACTTCCATTTATATGTACTATCCAGGGTAGGCAAGCCCAAGTATGAACAGTGTATCAATGTTGCCAGAGGCTGGAAGAAGTAAGGCTGAAGGAGTGCCTTTATCAGTAAAATGCATCTTTTTCAGATTATAATGACTTCTGGACTTAGATAATTACAAATCATAATTCTTTAAGTCACTGAACTGTACACTTTTTTTTTCAGAGCTGAGGACCGAACCCAGGGCCTTGTACTTGCTAGGCAAGCGCTCTACCACTGAGCTAAATCCCCAACCCCGAACTGTACACTTTTAAAGGGTGACCTTAGCCGGGCGGTGGTGGCGCACGCCTTTAATCCCAGCACTCGGGAGGCAGAGCCAGGCGGATCTCTGTGAGTTCGAGGCCGGCTTGGGCTACCAAGTGAGTTCCAGGAGAGGCGCAAAGCTACACAGAGAAACCCTGTCTCGAAAAACCCAAAAAAAAAAAAAAAAAGGGTGACCTTTATATATGCAAATGGTATATCAACAAAATGGAGATTAAAATGATAGAAATACACTAAGGAGCACTGTTCACCCAGTGCACTTCCATTCCACCAGAATTCTGTAAAAATACGGGACAGAATAGTTACAAAGTTGCAAAGTTTTAAGTAAAAAAAGGAGAGTTAATTACTGCATTTCAGTATTTGAAATGTAACTGATAGATAAGGTAAGATAGCTATTGTAAGAATAGAAATGGGGCTGTTAAACTATCAAATATTGTTCCTATCAGCTGACAGAAAGAAGCTGTCTCAGCCTGACGGCAATGAAAGACAGAAGATGAATCACTGCTTGTGGAAACCAATTTATTTAGTCCCTCAGAGTGGCTGTTATTTATGACTTGTCAACACATGCTGTTAGTGCAATTAAACATAAAAACCTGAAATTCTCTCCTTTCTACAACCCCACCTTTTATAAAAAAAGAATACACAAATTTAGAACATGAACATCATATTTTAAGTTCATTGTGGTTTTATTATTTTGCTGATATTGTCACATATCTGCAACATTCATTGCTTTGACTTGTTAGATTTAAATGTTTACAGGGACCACTATGAAAATATATGCAGGGATCGTCCATTTCAAAATAACACAAACCCCCAAATTTAAAACAAGGCACTGACAGAATGTTCATTGAAGGTGGGAGACAGTAAGCTTATGACTAATGAAAAGCATGATTTCTTAACTGTTGTATGGGCAAAATCTTACAAATAAAGTATTCTGCCCATACTTGTTACATGAAAAGTGCATTATGAAATTTCACTTTGACCAGGCCTCCATAGGATTTTCATCATTCAGCTGAAATCAACCCACACACACACACACACACAAAAAATCTTATTCATATTATTATAAATACCAGACCTATAATAGCAACTGTTTCCATGGAAAAAATATTTGGGAGAACAAAAGAGTTACAAGCAGTATTTGCTAACTGTGTCACTTATATGCCAAGTATAACTGCCAGTTATTCTGAATGATGTTCCTCATTGAATTTATATCTTTATTTATTTGTTTTTGTTTTTCCAGGGATGAGGGCATTGATTTCTTTTTTTTTAGATTTATTTCATGCATTCAAATGTTTTGCCTGCATGTATGTATATATGTGCATCACATATGTCCCTAGTACCCATGGAGGTGAGAAGAGGGCATCAAATTCCTTGGAACTGAAGCTGTGGATGGCTGCAAACCACCACATAGGTGCTGGGAATCTAACCTGGGTCCCCTGCAAGAGTAGCAAGTGTTCTTAACCACTGAACCATCTCCTCAACCCTGTTTTCTGTTTTGTTTTTGAGACAAGGTCACACTATTTGGCCCTGACTTGCCTGGAATTCTTTATGTAGACTAGGCTGGCCTTGAACTTAGATTCACCTGCCTCTGCCTCCTGAATGCTGGAATTAAAGGCATGAACCACTATGCTTGGCTTAATTTATACCTCAACTCTTTTTTTTCCTTAGTTTCTGTGTTATTTTTTTTTTTTTTTTCATTTAAATTTTTTACTTTTAAAACTTATTTTAAACATTGAACATTAAACAAGAAAATTAGTAATCCCAATCCATTATATTCCTCATAGTAACAACACAGTGTGTTATAAAGACAACCTATACTTGAATTCTTTACACATACACAATTTGCATATATATGATTCTTAGCATCTCATCAGTAAAGGTTTTATATGACTTACCAAATGATCCCTGCTTTTAGAATTGGCTTTTATTTCCTTTTTACTTTTTTAGTATTCTCAATATCAGAATTCCAATACTTAAATTTAAATACAAATGTAAAAACTTAAAATTCACTCCTTACAGGTTATTATCAATGTCCCTAAATAATACTTAGTTCCTAACTTATACTGGTCAAAGAATATGTTTTCTCTCTGACTAGAATCTTAAGAATGAGAATCAATTCACCAAAAATGGGGAGGGAGGCACTAACAAATAGTTTTCCTATTTCTTGTTCTAAAGATTATTGATAAAATATTCTGTGTGAAAGGTTGGGAATTTCTCTATCTACTGAAATACTATCTTTTTTTTTTTTTTTTTTTTTTTGGTTTTTTGAGACAGGGTTTCTCTGTGTAGTGAATTAGATACATTTTGGACTTAACAAAATAGGATAGATAATGAAATTATTTTCTCTGAATTTGTCAAATACAAATGGACTAGACATTGTTTAGACATTTATTACTTGTATATATTGTATATAGTCATTGTACTTTTGTATATAGTTTTTCTTTTGTTAGTTATAACCTTTTTCTTTTTTTTCCTTTTTATTAAAATAGAAAAGGGGAAAAAAAAAAATGTGGTGTCCTCCTAAAAGCCTAGAACACAAACCTTTGAAAACTAAGTTATGGGAGCATGGGCCACATGTTCTACAATGAAGTCATGTTTTGATGGAAAGCTGGATACTGTATACATGACATCAATCATTAAATTCACTGTTTCAAAACGTGAAAAAAAAAAAAAAAAAAAAAAAAAAAAAGTGGATGTTCCTACAAGTGTTTGTGGGCTTCACAAACTATAAACAACCCCAGGTGTTCCCAGCCTTATTTGGTCTCCTATTTAAAAAATATATATACTTACAGTAAATGAAAAAAAAAAAAAAAAAAAAAAAAAAAAAAGATATAAGAACTAGATAGCTAGAAGCCTGAGCCATTAGGCCACACAGTTTAAATAATATAAGCGTCTGTGTGTTTATTTTATAAGTGGGCTCTGAGACTGGCATGGCTTGGCGGGAGCTGCAGAGAAATTCTCCAGCTACAGATAATTATTTCATAAGATAGTATTTCAGGCCGGGCGGTGGTGGCGCACGCCTTTAATCCCAGCACTCGGGAGGCAGAGCCAGGCGGATCTCTGTGAGTTCGAGGCCAGCCTGGTCTACAAAGCGAGTTCCAGTTTCTGTGTTATTTATATATTTCTTTATTTTTAATTTTATGTTCATTAGTGTTTTGCCTGTGTGTATATCTGTGTGAAGGTATTACAGACCTTCTGGAACTGGAGTTACAGACAGCTGTAAGCTGCCACGTGGGTGCTGGGAATTGAACCTGGGTCCTCTGGAAGAGCAGCCAGTGCTCTTAAACGCTGAGCCATCTCTCCAGCTAATTTACACCTGTAAAGTACCAAATCCAGCTCACTAGTTGTGGGCCTCTAGGAGCTTTTAGTAATAAGCACATGCTTTAAGTGACATCAAGGGACTATGTACCCAAAGTACACAAGTTCATTTCTTTTATTCTATTGTTTCATTCTATTGTTTTATTTCTTTCATTATATTCTATTG